CCCTGCCTGCTCTGATGATACATTGGCGCTACCCAATGCTTGTGAAGGCTTGCTGACTCAGGGTTGACATGAGTCTAAATCAACTGTGGGGAGACCGACTTAAAAAGTTATATGAGTGATGCCTTGTCCCATGCCCATCACTTAGAAGGGTGGGAGGCCTGCTTGGATAGGACAACAGCCTCCCTTCTACCCCAGTCATTCTTGTAGGAGCCCCAAAGCACTCTCCTCAGCACCATACCATGCTGAGTTGCTTCAGGGCACAGACCCACCAACATGGTTAGCATTGATCTACAGTCTGGGAGGTTATGCCAACATTTTTAAGTCTGGCACTTCAGAAGGCTACATTTTACCCACTATAGGAGTGAGAAAAAAAGAAAAGAAAAAGTATATGAAGTTCTTTTATAAAGTTGGTGTTGGGAAATAAACTTTCCTTGTCAGTAATGTTTCATCTGGCTTTTATCATAGGCAGCCATAGAGGAGGGATATGAGTTGACAGCTAGTGTGCCAATTATGGTAATAAGTAAAGTAATGAAGGATTTGACCTAGCTGTGCAAACAGCAAGTGTGCCCAATGAGAGTTTCCTTTCTTTCTCCCTTGGGTTGTGAAATGGGCATGTTAAGCAAGGCGAATCAGGAGGGTAGACAGGGAAGGAAAGGGAAAGTGGTGGAGGTTCAAGGACAATGCCCTTCCCATGGGGAATAGGGGGGCAGGGTGTCAGGTTAGGGAGGAGAGAGAAGTGAAGGCATCCACTGGCAGCCACATTAGTTAAGTAAGAGTACGTGTTCAAGAGCACAGGAGACGAGGAAGGACGCCTGGCCAAGATGGCCAAGATGGTGCCAGGAGCTGCTGTGCCAGGCCTCCTGGTTCCCTGACTGCTAGCAGCGGGTCCCAAAGTACCAATGCTTGGGCCAAGGGTGCCTCAACCAACTGTCATGGGCCTCCGCTGCTCTGGCTCTTTTACTACTTGGTTTTAACCATATATACAGGCATTCTTGCAGTAGGTGCATATGCAGCAACCAGTGTTCTGCAACCATAGAGCCCTAGCCGGGTGGCAGAGGGCTCTGACTGACCTCCTCACTGCTACTTTGGTGCCTTCTCAGTGTGACATTTAACTAGTAGGAAACCCCATGCCCATCACTGGAATAACACCCAATAGCTTATTCCTTGGGATAAGTTTATAGACATTAATAGCTAACTTATTAAGTGCTTTTTATGTGACTGGTATTGTAATAAGCCCTTTACTTATGGTGTCTGATTTAGCCAAGTACTGCTAGTTTTCCCATTTTACAGGTGGGATATGAAGGCCCAGTTAGAGGAGTTAGAATTGGAGGTGGCTTCATGGGCAAGCTCTGTGGCTGCAGGCTCAAACCCATTTGTTGCTTCCAGGATCGTCTCCAGCTTTGAGCTTCTTTCTTTGCAGTTCCCCTTTTGTAAATCTACGTATATAAAAACCCTGGGTGGTGTTCATCATGACCACCAGAACCGCGACCAAGCAGAAGTCAGTCAGTCCTGCAGGGATTGTCTTGGCAACGGCTGCGCCCTCCCCTGAGCTGTTTCCTGGAGCTGTTTCCGGTGAGGGCGGGGTTTGAGGCAGGAACCCGCCCTCGGAGCATGGACCCACTGAATCCTGGGTCGCTTTGCCAGGGGCTGCGCCCTCCCCAGCTGTTTCCCATGTGGCCTGAGGGAAGAACCCACCCTCAGAGCACCAGGAGCGCCCAGCAGCAGTCAGTCCTGGGTTGCTGAGGTGGAGGCCATGGTGTGGTAGAACTCTGGGTCTGGCCCAACAGGGGGCATGGCTGACCTTCAAAACAGACCCTGACAGTAGAAAAAGGAGGGAGCCCCACTCCTCACAGAATCCGCTGTTGGATAGCTTGCTGTCAGTGGCCTGCCAGCCAGGAACCCCATTCCCCTGCACCCAGGACCCTGACAGGAGGGAGGAGGGAGCCCCATTCCTCACAGAATCGATAGGTGGCCAGTTTGCTAATTAATTCCCTTTTAAAAAAATATATATTTTATTGATTTTTTACAGAGAGGAAGGGAGAGGGATAGAGAGTCAGAAACACGGATGAGAGAGAAACATCGATCAGCTGCCTCCTGCACACTCCCCACTGGGGATGTGCCCACAACCAAGGTACATGCCCTTGACTGGAATCGAACCTGGGACCCTTGAGTCCACAGGCCAATGCTCTATCCACTGAGCCAAACCAGTTAGGGCAATTAATTCCCTTTTAATGTGCACAAATTTCATGCACTGGGCTACTAGTAATGATAATAATACCAACTTCTCTTGGCAACTGTGAAGACTGAGTAAGTTAATATAGGTACAGTGCTTAGATTCCTGCACTTAGTGCATTATCAATAATTATCAGCTATTGTAAATGTTGAGATATAGCAATTTCATTGGCACTCATATTTGGCTATTAATACTTTTGTTGTATGAATTCTATTCTTTTATAATTTGAATTTTTCTAGTACATTACACTTATAATTATTTTCTCTTTAAAATATACGGTTTTAGCATATTTGAATTAATTGTATCGAAAAGAAATATAAAACTTACCTGAAACCAAAGATACTACACCAACATTTATACCACAAATAGTCTTGTTAAAAAAAAAAAGTGGGCCCAGCTGGCATGGCTCAGGGATTGAGCATCGACCTATGAAACAGAAGGTCACAGTTCAATTCCAGGTCAGGGCACATGCCCAGGTTGTGGGCTCGATCTCCAGTGTGGGACTTGCAGGAGGCAACAGACCAATGATTCTCTCTCATCATTGATGTTTCTATCTCTCTCTCCCTCTCCCTTCCTCTCTGAAATCAATAATATAAATAAAAAGTGGGTACAAACATGAAAAGATGTCAGCTTCACTTTTCGAAAGTGGACATACAGAAGGCCAAGAGACATATGAAAACATGCTCAAAGTCACTGATCATCCGAGAGATGCAAATCAAAACAACAATGAGGTACCATCTCACACCTGTCAGAATGGCTATCATCAACAAATCCACAAAAGACAAGTGCTGGAGAGGATGTGGAGAAAAAGGAACCCTTGTGCACTGCTGGTGGGAATGCAAACTGGTGCAGCCACTGTGGAAAATAGTATGGAGTTTCCTCAAAAAGTTAAAAATGGAACTTCCATTTGACCCAGTGATCCCATTTCTAGGAATATATCCCAAGAAATCAGAAACACCAATCAGAAAGAATATATGCACCCCTATGTTCATAGCAGCACAATTTACAATAGCTAAGATTTGGAAACAGCCTAAGTGCCCATCAACAGATGAGTGGATTTAAAAACTGTTGTACATCTACACAATGGAATACTACACTGATGAAAAAAAAAGAACTTTTACCATTTACCAAAGTATGGATGGACCTGGAGAGCATTATGCTAAGCGAAATAAGCCAGTCGGAGAAAGATTAAAAAAATTTTTTTTTATTGATTTGAGAGTGAGATGATTTGTTGTTCCACTCATTATGCATTCATTGGGTGATCTTGTATGTGCCCTGATTGGGGATCAAACCCACAACCTTAGCATATTGGGAGGATGCTCTAACCAACTGAGCTACCTGGCCAGGGCCTAAAAGGTATTTTTTTCTTTTTTTTAATCCTCACTTGAGGATATGTTATCAATTTTTCAGAGAGAGAGAGAGAGCAGGGATTGAACCCACAACCTAGGTATGTGCCCTGAGTGGGAATCAAACCCACAACCTTTTGGTTTATGAGACTATGTTCCAACCGAGCCACCCAGAGCCAGCGCCTAAAAGGTATTCTTAAAAACTCTTGTCAAGTACAGATTACTGCAGTCAAACCTTTCTCCAACGCTTCCCAAATGCTTCCCATGGCAAACAATTCAGTTCTCCAAGCTATTCACAGAAATACTAGTGATGTCTCTGTCTAACCAAACTGACAACCCTTTTATGCTGATACTTCAGCACGACAAAAAGCTTCTCAGGCAACAAACAAAGGAGAAAATTCTTTTGTTGGCAAAATCGATTAGCTCAATTTTAAAACATAAAGAGGCCATCAAGAATGCTAGTGTTACTAAGGGTTCAAAAGAAACAATGATCACAGGCAATTGAAGAGGTAGAAAAACAGTTGATTTTATTTTTTATTTTTTTTAATACATGGATTAAAGTGATTTTAATAAATGGAAAGCAGTTAGCCAGCCTAGAGGCAGTGATATATGAACAAGCAAAGATACTACATGCTGACCTAAAAGACACTCCTGGAATGAGTGCTGAAGGTGATTCATTTAAGGCTAGTAGCGGGTAGTTCAGTAAATTTAAGAAAAGTGTTTATTGATAGATTAAACAGCACATTAGAAATGTACTGTATATAAGAAGGGTTAAAACAAAGAATCATTCGGAGGTTTGGAATGGATTATTCAATTTACATTATTTCTAATGAGAAAAACCGATTCAGTTTTCGAACAAATTGCTTCTCAAACAGCCTTCCGGATGAATTTAGAGAACTGAGATACACACACACACACACACACACACACACACACGCACACACAGGGTGGGGCAAAGTCGGTTTAGTTGTTTGTATGGGAAATAATACAATAATTAATAATAAAACAAAAATAAATTGTTTTGTGTACTCACAACTGTAAGCCTACTTTTGCCCATCCCATGTATGTGTGTGTGTATACATATATACTAATATATATGTATACACACACACACACATTCTATATAATAAAAGGCTAATATGCAAATTGTCCCCTTGACCGGGAGTTCGACCAGGGGGCGGGGTCAGCTGGCCAACGATCATGGCCCCTCCCCCCCAGCCCTGCCCCCGATCAGCCCCCCCCATTGGGGGCGGGGCCAGCCGGCCAACTTCTGATGTCCCCCCCCCTCCCCCAGCAGCCAATAGACCCTGATGGGCGGGCCAGACCCCACCTGTGCACAAATTCGTGCATAGGGCCTCTAGTATACATACATATATATATGTATACATATACATATATATAGTTTGTTATATTAGACTTTCAACTTTTTATTAGGTTTAAATTTATGCAAAATAAAAGTTAGGGGGGAATGTACCTTCTAGGTGCTAGTATTATTGTATTTTATCAATATCAGAATTTTTGGGAATTAGTGAGTCTCTCAGTTTTTGATTCTTACAGCCAAGGACTTTGTATGTGACACCCGCAATGCTGTTGTCAGCTGTTTGTGACAAAGCTAATGAACCACTGTGATGAACAATGACCTCAGAGGCAGCGTATATTTTCTGGGTGTTGGCTTATGCCACCCAAGGGAGCTATATGTGAACATGGCTCCAGCCTCATATCTTTAGTTTGCTTTCAAGTCTGAGTTTGGTAGAATTGTCTCAGCTGAACCTTGTATCTGCTAACTGGACCAATACACTTTCAATATGAGCACACCCTTGATTCAACTCTTTTCCTTATGGGAACCTAGCCAAAGGAAATAATAAATGTGCTGATTCTGCTAGCAAATAATTAGAAACAATCTCAATGGTTAAAAGTGAAGGACTAACTTCAGAATCGTATGCAGTCACTGAAAATAGTACTGCAGAAATGTGCAGACTAACATGGAGAGTCACAATATATGGTGAAAAAAACTAGGTTATAAAATTGTGTGGTATGAACAAATAATAAACATTACAATTACATCTAGATTTAGAAAACTGTACACCAAATACTTAACTTTGGCTGTCTCTGAGCAGATGAAATTTTGAGTGTTTGGGGTTTTTTTCTTATCCATATTTTCTAGCTCTTCTGTAATAAACATGTATTGCTTAAACAATTAAAAAAGAAACTTGATAAAAAGATAGCATGATATTTAATAAATCCACTTAAGGGACTTCCTCATAGTAAATTATAATTTAAACGTGGGGGTTGCATAATACCTAAACATTTGAATCTTTTTATATATCTATTTAAAAGATGCATCCTGCATTCGTTCAGGTTCTGGTCTTGGGATATCTGGGTTACATCTGGGCCTGTCACTCAGCTGAGTGACTGTAGAACCAGGCTAGCTTAACCTCTAAATCTCTATTTTCATCTGTATAATAGGGACGGTAGTAATACCAACATCACAGCTTTGTTGAGGGTTAAATAAAACACAGACAACTCTTGGCACACAGTACCTAGCAATACTAAGGCACAATGTTAACTATTATTAAATTAGGTGTGCGAAGCTTTCAAGGGCCAGCAGATATCTTCCGTTTACACTATAGTAGGAGGCTCTGCCTGAGCCTAAAATGCCTCCACCAGCAGTCTGATAGCTATGCTGTGCATCTTGCCTACCCTTTTTTTGAAGAAGTGTGCAGGTTAAAGCAAAAGTAGCACCTAGGCCACTTAACTTCCCTGAAGCCTGCTTATTTCTGGTCAGGAGGAAGAGATGCTGATGAACTCTGTTAATAAAGCACAGTGCTCACCAGGCCAAAGGTCAGTGTGACCAAGGTCTGAAGTCCTTTATAAGAAAAGCATCCCTCTTAGCCACTATTAAGGGAAAGATTTTTTAGTCCACACAAAACCCCACATATTTATTTAAAAACAGTAGTTTCAAAATTATCTTTTAAAAAATATATTTTTATTTATTTTAGAGAGGGAGAGGGATAGAAACATTGATAAGTTGCCTTCTGCACGCTCCCTACTGGAGATCCAGTGGGCAATCTGGGCGACACTCAATCACTGAGCTACATCAGCCAGACTCAAAATTCTCTCTTAAGCTCAGAATCTATGAGCCAGGGTACAAACGAGTGAGGTTGTCATTCATTAACTTATTAAATAAAAATTTAAATTAAAATATGTGGAGTAGTGTTTTTCCACATTTCATAAGAATCACATGGAGTGCTGGAGATTAATTCTGTTAATACAGTGGGCCCAGTATGGGCCAGTAATTTGGAAATATTTTTTTTACAAATACCTTCAGATGATCACCATGATCAAGGAAATGTGGGAAACATTCATTTGAAACATGCTTTTCAACTCCCTTTGCAGATTTTAATTATTGAACTACTGATCCCAGAATGACTCACTGAAAAGTCTTTTCCAGTCCGGTTTTAGGAAAGCCTTCTGAACATTTCATGCCTCATGGGAGACATCACAAATACTTTCTTCTGTTTGTTTCCTAGGAGACAGACAGGCATTCCTTTCTCCTTTACATTTCTGATCGGCTGTTCTAGAGCATGTTTTTCTCGGAGTTCCTACCTTCCCTGAGTTGAGACACAGCAATCCAATCAAATCATCTTTAAAATTTGATTTCTTTTTAAAGGACTGTCACCTTTAATAACCTTTGCTTGCTTCAGTCCAACTCCCTTCTCTTCTGAAACTTAAGAAATTAGGATGCTTTGTATAGACTCAATAGTCTGGCTTTTCCACCTTAAATCTCACACTGACGACCCCGTGTATGCCCGCTTGGATCTCATCGTTTACTTTAACAGGGCCAACTCCCTTCGGCGTCCCGGTCAAGATAATATCTCCTTCTTCCAAGGCCATTATCTTAGAAACGTAGCTGATGATGTAGGGGATGGTAAAGATCATGGAAGACGTCTCACCCTCCTGCCGTAGTTCTCCATTGACCTTGAGCCAGAGCTTCAGGTTGTGAGGGTCAGGGACCTTCTCTTTGGGCACGAACGCGCTGACGGGGCAGGAGGTGGTGAAGCTCTTGGCTAGGGTCCAGGGTAGCCCCTTCTTCTTGCATTCATCCTGCACGTCCCTGGCGGTCATGTCCAGGCACAGGGCATAGCCGGCCACGTAGTCCATGGCCTCGGCCTCCGGGACGGCGCGGCCTCGCTTGCCCATCACCACGCCCAGCTCGAGCTCGTGGTGCAGGTTGCGGCTGTAGGCGGGCATGAGAATGGGCGAGCCCTCGGGGGCATAGGCGGTGGACGGCTTCAGGAAGAGCACGGGCTCGCTAAGCACCGCGCTCCCCATCTCCTTGGCGTGGTCCGCATAGTTCCGGCCCACGCACACGATATTCTTACCCCACTCCCAGAAGCGGGACAGCGGCCTGGACACCGCCATGGCTCCAGCTAGGCGCCCCTAGAGTCACGTGGATTCGGCCGGGACGGGTCCCCTGACGCCTACGGCTACCCCGAGAGGACGAACTGTCTCCGAGCGCAATCCCGTCCGCGACCGCCCGTTCGGCTTTGTGCTCCGCCGAAGTCGCGGAGCTCGGCCTCGGGTGAACCGCTGCCCTGTGGCCGCCTCTGGAGCGCTGGCCTGGTCCCCGGAAAGAACGGACGCGCTAACGTCGCTTTTTAGCTGCAGCCACTTCCTTGATTCTCGCCCGCGGGGAGTGGGCACGGTTTGGACGCGAGCGCTGATTGGCCGTGAGGCGGGCAGGACTGGAAATCGAGCTCTGATTGGTCGGGAAGTGGGGTGGGGGCGCGAGACAGGCACTGATTGGCCGCGACCCGCGGACGCCGGCGTGTGTTGCCCGCCCACGCCTCGCACTGCCGTCCGCTCTCCGCCCTGGTCATGGTGCTGAGCCGGCTGCTCGGCCGCTGGAGTCTCACCGCACTGGGAGCCGCTTGCGTCCGCCGCGGCCTGGGTAGGTCGGCCGGGGCCGGCTGGGCCGGGGCAGGGCTGACAGCGGCAGGGGCCGGGGGCGGGGGCGGGGACAAGTCAGGCCCGAGGGTCCTGGCGGGTGTCATCGCCGGGAACGGCAGTTAGGCCACCTGCGCTCCCGAGGCGTCCCAGAGGCGCCGGCGGCCCGCAGCCGGGCGTTGGGCGTTGGGCGTGGACGCAGCCCACTGGCCCGCGCCGGTGCGGCTGACGCCTGACGCTGTTCTTTACCGACAGAGGACTTTAACCCTCGCTGACGGCGGCGGGCAGGCCAGTTGGGTTCGAAAGGCCTCACAGCGGTTGGGTCAGGCTGTGAGAGGGCAGAAGACAGAGCGGGTCGCTGATCCGCTGAGGGTGCTGAAGGCTGGTGCTAGGTAAGGAGCCGCGTTCCCGGCGCCCGGGCCGGCCCCCCCGCGGTCAGCCCTCAGTTCCTTGACACTGGGCGGTGCGGGGGTTTCCCTCATATTTCCGTACCCCCACCCCACAAATCCCGTATCTGTAATGCCCGAGGGTGATGTGACTGCCGAGAGCCCCGGAAAATGCGGTTACATTCTCCATAAAGTAAATCACATCTTTTCATCTGAGTTTTGGTTGTCAAGTAGAACCCGAGGCACGGAATCTAAAGTGATGACACAGGGAGAGCCCTGGAGCAATGCCTGGGTCCCGTGGGCCGTGGGACCCTGGCCCTCCCTTGCTGTGTTTCCATCGGTGCCTCTGAAATGAGAGGCATTGGGCACCCTGGCCTCCAAGGGCCTGCCCTTCCAGCTGTCAGATCAGATGCCAACCTCTTGCTTTCTCGGAATAGTTTGGCCTTTATTTTGAAATCTCCTTTTCCTTATTTCCTGGTATTTTACCTGGCTGATTAGCAGTAGGGGCGGTCTCTGGGACCTGGTTAGCGGTCACCTAACTGACAGGAGGGCATTACCTAGGCCCGCGGTGGGCAAACTTTGGCTCTTCCTAAGCCTGAGGAGTACCCTAATTAAGTTAATAACAATGTACCTACCTATATAGTTTAAGTTTAAAAAATTTGGCTCTCAAAAGAAATTTCAATCGTTGTACTGTTGATATTTGGCTCTGTTGACTAATGAGTTTGCTGACCACTGACCTAGGCAGGTGGAACAAGCAGTGAAGCCATTCTTGGCCATTTGCAAATCCCACTGAAAGCAGTTAAGATTCTGGAGTGGAGAATGTGTCACTGTTACTAAGGAAAGAGCCTGTTTTGTTTGCCATTTAGGAAAACGCATCACAGTGTCAGGGCTGAGGGTTTGTGTCAGGGGTCGGGCAGCTGTTGAAAGTGGGACTGTAGGGAATTGCCAGGAGTTGATGCCATGCAGAAGGACTGGTCCCATTCAAAAGAAGTCAAACAGCCCTGACCGGTTTGGCTCAGTGGATAGAGCGTCGGCCTGTGGACTCAAGGGTCCCGGGTTCGATTCCAGTCAAGGGCATGTACCTTGGTTGCGGGCACATCCCCAGTAGGGGGCGTGCAGGAGGCAGCTGATCGATGTTTCTCTCTCATCCGTGTTTCTAACTCTCTATCCCTCTCCCTTCCTCTCTGTGAAAAATCAATAAAATATATTTTAAAAAAAGTCAAACAAAACATGTCTCAGGACTTGGCCCAGACCATAGGCTGCAGGTCCATACACTCTGGTTACACAAAGGTCACAGTTGCAAACCACTTCTCAGGCTGTGGTGGGCCAGGTTATATAATTTTTGGAAAAGGAATAAGGTTTCTGGTGGTGATTGGACCAGATGAATTCTTTGCTTAGAGATAATGGCATCTTCCCCAGGTTCCCTAGCACCAATTGTAAATAACGATTTCTTTACCTGGGCAGAGTGGATAACGTTCTCTGGGAAATACAAAAATGGGGCCCCCTGTTAGGGAGAATGCTTCCAGACTCGTGGAGTTTTGTTTCTGTCCTTCTGCCCGCCTCCCACCCGCACCCGCAATACACGCGCTGCCTTGTATAGTATAGTTGTCAGGCTCAGGTAACACTGGGTCTCAGATAGGTGGTGGAACATCACAAACTTGATCATACAAAAATGTTTCTTCTGCATGAGGAGAAGGGTCTGGCAAATGCCCCGCTAGTTGTCAAAGGAAAGAGGGCATTGGATATCTGTGTGTGATCATTAAAGCGACAGTTCAGGCAGTTTCCCTGGCCATGGCAGAAAAGGCTGAATCTGCTTTCGATGGCCCCTGGAGACATGGCCTGTCTGCTAGTCAGTCAGTGCTCCCTACTTTCTGGATCCCTTTGGGGAGAGGCCCTATCCCAGCACATACCTCAGAATTTCATGGCTGCCTTCTCTCGCCTTCTGTTATACAGTTTTAATCCCTTTTATGCTAAGGCTTAAGGGCCTCCATGAATTTTTAGATTGAATAATAGGAGTTTCGTTGTTGAAAATATTCAGATCATAAATCTGAAAGAGCTGATTTCCATGAATATGAATTGTTTTCTAGATTTTCTTACTCATGTGGTTAAATGAGAATATTCTCTTCTCTTTCAAAGGAATTTAGAAAACCCTGCAGGGTGAGCCTCTGCTTGGATGCTCACTGCATGTCGTTCTGGGATGTCACATCCCCAGGACACCCCTATTGCTGCGTCATTGAGGGCTTGATTTGAAGTCTATGCCTGATGTGGCCTCACGTGAACACTGACCAAAACTGCGTTCTTCTTCAGGTCTCGCCCAGCTGGGACTCCTCCACCACACAGATTTGAGGAAGAGCTTGACCGTGGAACAGGACGCCATGAAGGTTGAGTTATTGCCTGCCCTGACCGACAACTACATGTACCTGATCATCGACGATGACACCAAGGAGGCCGCCATTGTGGACCCAGTGCAGCCCCAGAAGGTGGGAGGTGTGTCCCCGGCACCAGTTCTTCATCCTCTGATGGGTGTGATAACCTCCGTGTTCTTGCACTTGGCTGAAGCTAACTAGAAATTAATCTATTTCTTTTTTTACAAACAATTTAACTAGTGCCCAGCCACTGTTATTGGGGAAAAGGGCCAATGGAAGGGGTGGGGGTGACCAGATGCTTTGCTGTGGAAAGATAAGGCCTTGTGTCTGTTAAGTCCTTGGGCAGAGAGGTAGGAGCTGTACTTGGTATTGTCTACTCTTCCTTGAGGCTTTGTGCCCTTGACCAGAGGGGCTTGGAGAGGTCATGGGTGTGTGTGTGTGGGGGGGGGTGCTGAATTGCCAAGTGCATCAAGAGAGAGAAAGGCCACTTTCACCCTGCTCTACCGAAGTTAGGCCGAGTTGGCAGGGTCCAGATGGAGCCCGGCCATTCCTGGCACACCCTGAGTTCCGGTGGGCACCCCACCTTGTGGGCTGGTGAGCCAGCACTTGGAGTGTGACGGTGGCCTCTGTCCTGCTTCACGTTTGGTTACAGGTTGTAGAAATGGCAAAAAAGCACGGCGTGAAGCTGACTACAGTGCTCACCACCCACCACCATTGGTAAGTGCTCCACTCCAGAGGCTGAACTTCTTCCAGGCCAGCAGAGCTGATTAGGCCTGATGGCTCCCTGCCAGGCACAGCCTGAGGGTGGGGCTGGGTGGGGTTCTCACAGGCTCTCTGGGCCCTCCCGCCGCTGGCAGTCTGAGTCACTTGTGCCCCCACAGCTGTGACCACTGTGCAGCTGGGGGCCCGCCTCCAGTGGGATTCTGAGGAGGCTTTGGGTGTCAGCCTCTGGGCTGTTGCCTGATCCCCTTGGTCTTCAGGCCCTAGCCCCTTGGCCCTGTGATGGGGTCTGGTAACTTGGGGGTTCTGTGGGGAGATGTTTGTGCTGTGGATCCTTCTGCCATGAGACGACCTCCAGCAGTGCCTTTGAAAGCCCTTGGGCTTGTGTGATGAGATGTTGGCCTCAATGTTAGGGAAAAAACTAGACTAGACATCAGTGTTTTTAAAACCAACAGCCATATTTGGAGAGGTTGTGTGTGGCTTTTTTATTTTTATATTTAAAGGCTAAACGTTGAAAAAGCACCTGTGTTTGGGTTTAGGATTAGAGTTGTATGTCCAAGGTCCTTCTTTGGGATTTTTGAAACTTTTGAGGTTCTTCAAAGCTAAAAAAAAAATAATAATGTTTATTTGGCTCTGATTCCCCACCCCCAAATAGCTGCTAGAGTGCAGCTAACACCTTTGAATGAATCTGTCCTCGTAGCATTGTTATTATTTCGCCTGTAGGAGCTCTGCTTCACCAGCCTCTTCTCCCAGAAATAAAATTAGCCTTTCACTGGGAGTGTGGTATGCATGTGGTTTGGCCAGTTTGTTAAGTGGTGGAAATGTCTGGCTTGATATATCTAAGTTGCTGCGTCTCTGGGACATCAGGTGCTAATTACAGACGGAGTCTACAGCCCTGTCCTTGGCCTGAGCTACTTACTGCAGCCACTCTTGCTTTTGGGAAATCTGCCTGTGCGGTGCTTTGGGCCTCTTGAGCCTCCATGTGGCTGCAGGAAGCACCCCCGTTCCTCAGCTTTGCACAGTTTGCTTCTCTCTCCCGCACTGTCATCCCCACATCAGGTGTCGCTTTTCTGGCGGATTTTCTCAGCGCCTTATGTTTATGCCAGAACATGAACCCTGAACCAGGCCCTAAACTGAGCTCCAGGGTGTGGCCCCTGCCTCCTCCCACTTATCGGTGGTGGTGAGCGGGCTAAGGGGTTGCCCTGACCAGCGTGTAACAGTCCTTTGAGGGGAGAGGGGCAAAGGGCCAGCCTCCTTTTATCCTGGCCCTGCTGTTT